CTGCCCAGGTTTAGCTTGAAAAGTGATGCTTATCTTTCAAAGAGGTAATAACTTCTGACTATCTAAAATCTCACCCTATTTGTTAGAACTCTTACTTGTCTTAAAATAACTTTTTGTAATCAGATTGTCAGAATAAAATATCACAAAATGGTCTGTCTAAATTTTAATAAAATTATTAAATTAATAAAATTACTAAATTAAAATTATTAAATTTTAATAAAATTATTAATGTGCAAAAAGTTAATCAAAAGGTAAATTTTGTTATATTTTCATTTTTCAGTATAGTTTTTGTCATTTTATTTGGAATAAATTTATTTAAATGGAAGCTAGCTAATTTCTTTCTTCTTTAAATTGATAGCACAACCAAGGAGGAGAAAGTGCATCTTTAAATTAATCTCCTTTTCCTAAGACAATTGTCCGTAAATAAATATAGTAGACAAAATAGAAGAAGCATGTTTTCTTTTATTTCAAGGAAAATATAATTAAGTTTTTAAATTTCTTTACTTTTAGATAGAATTTAAATACTTACAAAAGCTCTCAAGCTATATAGATGGATAAATACATAGATGTTCAAATAGATAAATTCACACAATAAAACACAAAATGTGCTTAATATATGCCTTGCTTCTGTACAAGCCAAGAGAAATTAGGACGTTTCAAAGCAACAGCTTTTGGATTATAGTGAGGTCCAGGGGTTATATGCATAAGAAATGAAAGTAGCCATTCGTGTCCAGTAAAATCACTAAAAACAAACTGAAGCAGACTCTGAAAATTCATATCATTTATAACCAAAGGTTTTCCACTGTAGAATAGCCTCAAGAACATAAGCAAATTCTTCTTTAGCTGCATTATCTGTTGCTGTGCCTTGCTTTTCTTTTTGGTGGGGGAAGTAGGAGAAAGAGTCTTGCTATGCAGTTTGCTAGCTTTGAGCTCACTGTGTAGCTCAGGCTGGCTGTGAACTCATGGCAATCCTCTTGCCTTAGCCTCTCCAGGCTAGTATTACATGGGTGTGCCACTATGTTCAGTCTGCCATGCTAATCTTAATGAAAAGAAAACATCAAAGAAAAAATAGTATTGTGTCATCGTGCAAATGGTTTGATCTTTAGGTGCCATGAAATGGATACCTCTAAATTAGGGGAACAAGAAAGGCAATAATATTTTTAAAAATCTAAAATAGCAGCAATTTCAAATCATTGATTACAAGGGGCTGGAGATTTAGCTCAGTGGCATAAGCACCTGCCTGGCAAGTGTGAGATCATGAGTTCAATCCCCAGCAACAAAAAGACAAAACAAAACAAAACAAAACAAAACAAACATAAAACCAAATAATTGATTACTTGCTCATGTAAAGTCTAACAAGTCATAGAAGGCACTCTTTATGATATACCTACTCATTTTCGGGAGTAAAACTGCTGGAATTCTGCATTTCCAATATATGCATGTATATATTATATACTATTTCTTAAAGTAACCCTGGGAGGATTTTTATTCAAGCAGTTTTTATGAGCCCAAACCTTTTGCCCTCATTCTATTGATCTGAATTATGATGTGGTCAACTGCATCTGCAGGAAGCCTGGGACAGCACAGTGGAGCTGTGTGCTGGGTGGTCTCCAATAGATGCTCCCTGGGATGAGTCTCCTGTGAATTTCTGTGGATTAAAAAGCATAAGCCTAAGATCTTCCTGATACACAAATACATAGGAAACTCACCTTGGAGTAAATGTCATTATTTTTCTGTATTTTGAAAATTAGGTTTATGCACATACTGTTCTATATGTCCTGAAAGGATCAAGACATATAGGTCCCTTATAGAGTGGATTTTGTTAAGGGCTAGTAGGAGTAGATGGTTAGTTAAAAGTAAAAAGCAAATAATAATATGATTGTGATTTGTAATAAGAAACCGTGGGAGGGGGAAGAAATTTAAAGGCAAAAGTACTTCAGAATATTGTCGCTGAAAGTCTTTCTGAAAATGTAAATGAACCAACAACTGATGAGTGGGAAAAAATAAAACCACAGATAACTGAAGACCTAGAGAAAAGCATTGCAGGAAAAAGAGTACGTTCAAAGTCTTCACTTGTCATAGTGCCCTTGCCTGTCTTTGAAACAGTAGTGGATCAGGGTGAACAGAAAGAGCAGAGCCACATGCCATGGGGCTCGGGAGTCAGGAGCAAGAGCACAAAGAGCTGTGGTCTCGTTCTGAGGAGCCGGGAAAGCCAGCTGGGTACCATAATTTTCCAAAATTTGCCCAAGTGGTGTGTCAAGAATAGAGTTGAGGAGACATCAAGATATGAGGATGTTAGCTATTAAAACCAACTTATTCATAATCTGGATAATTTATGTCATTGACTCCCAATAATCTCGGACTATTAATCAAACTTAGTACCCTTAAATTCAATCTAAGTTGTTTCAAAATTATTTTTGTTTTTGTAGGTCACATGGGTCATCTATTACTATGGTTTTACTAATGGTTAATCTAAGAGAATTGCAAAGACATTTTTTATAACATCAGCCCTATCACTATTAATACAAAGACAAAAATAAATTCCCAGAACTGGCATTTCTTTCAACATTGTCTGGCATGAGTTTAAAAAATGACAAATGTTACCATCCAGACTAAAGAAGAGAATGCCAATGCATTTACACACACACACACACACACACACACACACACACACACACGCACACACACGTTGTAGAAACAGCATGTACAACTGAAAAAGTGGTAATATTAATAATAAATGGAGCAATAGACTAAATAGTTAAGGGACACAGTGAATAATGAAAATCCCAATACTGGGGGTAAAAAAGAAAATTAGTAATTTATCAAGACCCTGTCTCAAAATAGAAAATTAAGAAGGCCGTGCATGTAGCTTAGTGTAGATAAACAAGCCAGGTGTGGTGTTACATGTCTGTAATCCCAGCACTCAAGAAGACTGAGGCAGGACGGACATGAGTGTGGGCCTACCGAGAGCAGCTCAATGCTTTAGACCTGTTTCAAAAATTTAAAACAGGTTTGGGATATAATTCAGCTAGTGCAAAGACCCTGAGCTCCTTCCCCAGTACTAAAAAAAATAAATAAATAAATAAAAATAAAGGAACATATAAATCATCTCTTTAATTCCAGTAGTATGCTTAACAGTTGCCACATATTATTTTTCTTTGCACAAGTAGGTAACAAACTTATATTTTTGGAAGAGTAATCAAGTAATGGTTTAGAAATTTCTACTAGGAAGTATATTGGTCCAAGTATTATGTGTATCTTTCCTCATTTCTATATTTTCCATGAACATTGCTTGCAGGCATTTATCTTTTATTTTGTTCTGCTATAAAAGTAAAAGAAAAGTTTCAAAACATTTATTGCTAGGAATTTATGTCTTGGTTAAAAATTTATGAATGTATTTTAGCAGCATTCTACAATAAACTGAGTATGCATAGCCGATATAACTGGATCATTGTGTGGCTGGTCCTCAGAGCTCAGGATCAACAAATCAGTTCAGTCACTATTTGACAAACCAAAAACCAGGAACAAAACCATCATTTCATAAAGATAACTAACATAACACAATGAGCCTCCATTTTCAAGTTTATTATATACAGATACAGAAAGAGATGCACTTAAATACACACACACATACTCGTGCACTTACATGGTCTTAGTGCTAGAGCTAACTCCCTGTAGAAAGATTAGTGTGTTTTCATTTTCATTTTCCACATTCTTAGATCATTTGTGAACAGTGTCTCACAAAATATTTCTGACTCTGTGAAATTTGTAATTTATGGCTAATGCTATAGTAATATCCTGTTTCGCAGACATCTTTAAATTGCATTATATATATATATATATATATATATATATATATATATATATAACGAAATAGCGTGGCCATGGTGCCTTCACCCACCTGTATGAGAAAGGAAATCCAAATCAAAGTGGCTAAAGCCATAATGACAAGCAGTGTTTCCAAAAGGTGAAGAAGAACAGAGAATTGCAACTTCAGAGTAGGTTAACATAGTGCCGCAATGACATCCCAAAAGAATGATGTTTCCATTCTGCTCATGATCCAGGTTAGCATTTCCTTACATCACTGTCACTCAACATCAGAAGTTGCCATTATATATGATTTCTAAGGTTCCAAAATAACATGACAAGATTCAGGACAACTGTATACATCCTGTCTCTATATGCAGAAAACTTTCTCAGACACCTTTTACAATTTTATTTTAATTTCTTGGGCCGCATACCAATCATAAAATCAATTCCAGAATTTTGGAAGGAGACCAACATTTTTGGCTTAAAATGGGTTTGATGCTTCTTCTACTCTCAATGAAAGGAGTGTCCCCTGAAACACTTCTGTAATTGGAGGACGGATACCTAGATTGAGCCACCTGAGAGGAATGCAGGAAAGTGTAAATGCTGAGCTAACAAATACAGTAGGAAAAACTTTGAAAGGCAGCATATATGAAATGAACACTTCATAAAAACAGGGCAGTTTAGTCCAGTAGAGGAGAGGAGCCCTAGATTTTATATCTTAACTGTGTACCTCAAATACTCCAGACACAAAGTGGGTTTTAAAAATTTATAGAATCGTTTTAATCAGACAAAAGTATTCTGTAGAGAACACGCCGATCCAAATGTATGCACAGATGCAATAAAATTGTAAAATGTAAGCTGACTGACCCAAACCTTGAATTACTTATAGATGCATTATAAAAAATCATTGATTGCCCAGTTATGAAGTTGTAGGTGACAGATGAGATTTGCGTTAGATTATAAGATGCAGGATTGCTATTGGAAGTTATAAAATATTTTTATAGAGAAAAAAAGAGTGGCAATATTATATAACATTTTGTTCTAATATTATCAAGTATTTTTTATGATTTCTTTTCCCCTTATGAGTCTCTTAGGCTGATTCCCAGAAAATTCAATGATATATTATTCAACATCGTTGTAAATAATAAATACAGAATAGGGCTAATTGTCTTTTTTCTCAATTCTTTAAGATCCTGACTTTAAGGACCTGGGCGTTTTGAAACCATTACCAGGTTGGTAAAACAGATGTTTAGTCATGTTGAGAGATCTTTGTTTTCTGCTATAAAATATACTTTTGGTTTATTATTCAAGCTCCATTTGTGTGTGTTGTTTGCTATTTTATTATTTAGCGTGTGAGTTTGAAATGGGTGGCCCAGAAGGAATTGTAGAGTCCATACAAATTCTGAAGGAAGGCAAAGCTTCTGCCAGCGAGGCTGTGGACTGCAAGTGGTACATCCGAGCCCCTCCACGATCCAAGGTGAGTCCTCGGAGGAAACTCAGTGACGACTGACTTGGAAAAGTCTAGGTTGTACATTGCTTTCAAGAACCTCGGCATGCCTCAGACGTTTCAGAGTGCAGTGATCAGCTATCATTTTATTCAGGTTTAGAAGTACAACTTGTCTGCCTTTGTCTGGTCTAACTTGTGTGCCATGTATTACAATATGGAGAGAGTGTGCTGAAGAGTCCATTTCATAACCTAGACAAGAAACTAAAACTAGTCTACTTTTCTGAAAAAAGAGGTTGAAATGTTAGACATGAACAAAAGTTATAAGCACAATTTCATTTAGGCCGTTTCATCAGTATTTGCAAGGTTTTTTTTCCTCTTAAAAGTGTATCTATGGAAGAAATGGCCAGGAATTATAAATTCCTGTGTCTCCAGCATACGAAATCCTGACGAGACAAGGCTAGCAACAATTGGGAACAGGATCTGGGAAATTGTGTCCATTTGAAGGGATGTCACTTTGCAACGCCTTGTTAAGTTTCTTGGGATTGTTATAGGAAAATTTGTGGTCAACTTAGAAACTCTGATCTTTTTTTTATAATACCAAAAATGTACATTGTATGTTGATTACCCTGATTTTGTACCGCAATACACTATAAAATTTGAAATATTATATGTAGTACACTACATGTAGTGAAGGGCAAATGCAGTCAGTTAACTACCTAGGAATCACTTTTTTAATTAATTTAAAGAGAAAAAAGAAAGATCAAGATTCAATAAAACAATCAAAAAACAACAAAGTAAAATGACAACATGAGAATCACTTCTTTACATTATCCTATTTATGGATCTAACTTCGGAGTGATTTGTGCCAGTAGCTGTTGGAAGTGTTCAGTACTGATTATTTTCTTTTTCTCTTCCTTTTATTCTTATTCCCCAGTTACAGAATTGCAACACTGCAGATTCATTAGATTCATAGGAGAATTTATTGAGTTTGAAGCACTTATTTAATTAATTGGCTTAGTGATGCTATAAAGTGCCAAGCACTATGATAGAGAAATTAAAAACCATGCCGGCCCCTGTGTTCAGGATTTTAGTTTAGCACTTAGACAAATACATAATAAAAACATCCAAGAAATAAAGTAAAATCACTGAAGTGTTGATAAGGACACATGGAGTGAGGAAAAATGGGGACACACCTAGCAGGGTGGTCATCAGTAGAACTGCAGAGCAGCCAGCTTCCATCAGGATCTGCCTAAGAAACAGCGTTAGACAGGTCGGCAGGTGGAGGAGAAGGCTGTCTGGGCACAGGGACAGCATCTGTGTGCCAGGGAATCACGAGAGAGCACATTTTTCAGGAATTAAAGCAATAGCACGTGACCCTGTCAGCCATGACTGAAGGTGTGGTGAGTCATCAAGCTGCAGGGCTCTGTGGGCCTCCCCAAAGAACCTGGACTTCAGCCTAGGCCCATTAGTGATAGATGAAAGAGCAAAGCAGGTAAGTGATGTAGCTGGATTTGCATTTTAGAAGTACAGGGTTTCTCTGGGAAGAAAAGACAGGGGAGTTAACTGTACAGACCCTGAGTCAGAGCTGTGGCAGGCATCCTGGGGATCCGATCCTTATGCTGGTAGACAGAGAAGGAAGCAGGTAAGATGATACAGGGATATTTAGGCTGGGGAGCAAAAAGAGTCACCTTTGAGGGATCTGGCACTTCAGGAAATACCTTTGTCTTTCTACCTTGAATTTGCCTCTAGGGTTTCATATCTAGGGGGAGGGTGACATATTTCCATTCCTGTTCCCCACACTTCTGGTCACAGAGATCCAGAGACCATGATCCAGCTTCCAGCTATGGTGCTTGCAGGTCTCTTTGCATCACAGCGAGTCTTTGAGAAAGTTAACTGCATTCTGGAGAGACACAGTAATTTTTCTTTTTGTTAAAAGCTTTCGAAAACATAAAGCCATAATTATCTACATGGATTATCCCAGAGCTAGATTTCATATTTTTATCCCTCCCTACCTGATTCTTGGATTCACATGCAAGTGCTCTCCATTTTTCTTAACCTCTACAAATGAAAGATTTTTAAAAAGACTTTATGAACAGGAAATATACACATGGCACCTTGCTGCCGTAATCAGCATCCTGTCACTGCAGTGGGAAATGGAAGGTGTTTGTGTGAATGCACACTTCTATTTTACAGCTGGTAAATAGGCTGTCTTTTGTACAATCCCAGAACAATGACACTTGGGTGTACCTGTCTGTTATACAATTTGGCATTCCGTGACCCAAAGGGGAAGTTGCCTGCAGAGCTGAACAAAGATGGCTCTATTGTGACAGGCTTTTTCTGCTGAATTAAAGGTTAGAGGACAGGAAGCAGCTTTGAATGCTGTGGAGAAAAGCAAGACATGGGTATTACTGACCATTTGGGCTTTCTATTTTTATGAAATTCCTAGCAGTTTACTAGAACAAACCATCAAAGCATAAGTTAAATCCGAAATAGCCCAGGGGGAATATTTGAATGATACCTGGTAGGACTGAACCACATTGTGTAATGGAAGGTCTAAATAGCTTGAGTTTATTACAATTTTTATATAAATCACAGGTTTTTTTCTTAACTTTTGATAAGTGGAAAATCTAAATTGATACATACTTTATTTGGAAAAATAATCAATGGCTGCTGTAATTTAAATGTAATTCATGAAGATTTCCTAAAATTTGAAAAACAAGAGATTAAAAGAACGTGAGATGCCTGTTATAAAGCAACTCATTTAAAGATTAATAAACTGAGTTAGAAGAATAATGTTCTCTCTGGTTTGAACATGCAATGAAGAAATATACCTCTATGGGCATATATTTTGCATACAGATTCTAGAGCAGCATGGTGGAAGGCTATTATGTCTACTGATGAATTTAGTCTAGAAAAGAGCATCAGAATGGAATGACAGGAGAGTGAAACAGGGTAACAATGTGAACTGCAATTGCTTGAGCTTGGGGGCCCTTGGTGTCTGTAACGACCAAGTGCCGAGCATCCTGCCTGGTATTCAATTAAAAAGAAAAAGCTGATGTATATATGCATATATTTCTAGTAGCTAGCTACGTTCAAATCTTTGAAACACTGCCACACGAAGAGGAATAAGACTTAATCTGCATAGTTTTACATACTGTAATTTATTAGAATTTTTGACACTAGAGAGATATAGCCTTCAATGTAATATAGAGAAGGTTTTTGTTTTAATAATGGAGTTCAAATGAGATTCCAGAGAAGGAATCCAAGCAGAGTTTGGCAAAGGTTCTGCATAATAATTAAAAATCAAGTAATCTTGGCAGAGATGATATGAAAGTCCTCTCAGAAGCAAAATTCCATGAATCTGTGATAAGTGACTTGCTCAAATATTTGGCTAGTTAGCAAAAACCTGGAATAAGATCAATATCTCCTAATTCCTGGTCCAGTTTGATGTCACAAAAACAAAGTGTTTTCGGAAAGGATCAAGTTTACTAAGAAAGGATAGGAGGTAAATTTAAAAAAAATTCACAACTGCCAAAGAAGGTAAGTTAGTAATTAATATGTTAGAACACTAAAACTAGAGCTTACATTATTTACTTACCATTTAATATTTAAAATTAACTTAATGTTTTACCAAATTCAAAATTATTTTTGAGTCAAATTATAATCAAATAACCATAAATCTTGACTAATATACTAACTCAGAGTTCTCTTGTGATATAATTAGGTTAAAATAGTAACTCAGTGATAAGTGCTGAAGGCAGAATTTTAAACACCCAAGATTTTAGATCCAAGAACAGCAGACATCTGATTATGTTACATTACCTCACAAAGGGGGTTTTTGTGACAGGAGTAAGGTTCTCGCTCCTTTTAATTTAACTCAAAGCAGAGTGGTGCATGTGGGCCCAGTGGAATCAGGTGAGCACATGCAAAGCAGAGTGTTTCTCTGTGAGCCAGGGGCACAGTGGGAGAACCAGAGCACCGCAGCCTGTTCTGGGACCCCTGGGAGACAGACTTCAGGAAAACCAGGACCTGAGTCCTGCAACTGCAAGGAGCTGGGTTTTGAACCTCAGGAAAAAATGCAATCAGCTTGGGTTTGGTATTTCTAAAATGTAGAATTGTGAGACATTAAATGAAAAATGCTTAAAGCTGCTAAAGCTGATGTAATTTGTTAAGGAGCAACGGAAAGTGAATGCAATAGATTATGGTACTAAATGTAATTGATTACAGCAATAAGCATTAAGGATTCTGAAGGCTTAGTCTGTGCCTATCACCAAAAAGAGAAGAAAATTAGATAAACAAAGTGAAACTTTTAACTGTCTAGGTATGTATCTGCCTACAAAATATTATGGCTTAATCTTTTAAAGAATGAAATGTTTTTTTTTTTTTTTTTTTTTTTTACTATTAGAGTTTAGACAAATGCTCAGATGGACTTGAAATATTTTGTTATTTTTCTATTCCGATCTGAAAATGATTTTAATATCATTATCCCAGGATTTATGGCTGGGTGTGTGTGTTTTAAGATTTCAGAAAGCAGCCTGATATTCTAGTTTTCTTTCCTAAATAAAGAGGTTGTTACTAGCCTCAAAATTCATGTGATATCCTACCTACAATTATAACCCTGACAGGTACAGTCACCAATAAAATAGCAACCACAATATCCTGGACTTTCCTTTTATTAGACCATGATTTTATTAATAAAATAATCCAGGAATATTGAAATCATGTGCAGCATCTCAGACTGTAGCATCCTGAATTCATATGAAGGACATGGTTTTGGCAAATCTTCAATTGCTTCAGTATCTATTTTTGCATATATATCATAACATGGAAGAAGAGATCAGGCTGAGCAGTTGGTACTACATTTTTTTGTAAATAAATTACTTAGTAAATTGTTAGCCACAGTTATTTGCTTTCCATATAAAAAAGAATTCAGCCTTCAATATTATTGTGATTTGGAAAACAGATATCACCAGAAATTGCTTCTGTTTCGAAGTTTCCCATGTCCTGTTCAATAAATCATCTTGTCAGTTACAACTCTTTGTGATTGATTAAAAAGAAGAATACATCAAAATGATTCAGTGAGGAGAGATTGTAATCTGACTATTTTGCTAGAGTTATGCAGAAAGACTGAAGAATTTTCTTTCCCTTAATACCTTAAATAATTCTTTCTTTTAATATTATTATGGCACACGCTTTAAGTTAATGAGATGGTCATTCCAATCATAATACAAGGAGAGCTTTTATATGACATGCATAGAGCTAGTGAGAGAATAGTTGATCAATTTTTCTGCATAATGAAATTTCAGCTTGTGCACTGACTGTTCTGGGACCAATGAAGTGAATTCAGTACTAGTATATTTTATTTTTTCAGTTATATGATATAAAAGTTGCAGTTAAAAAATTGTGAAGTATTTAGAATTGACTACATAAACTCCATTGATGATAATTGCCCACCTTCTCTATAAATAGTATTCTATTTAACAAGAACACCCTCTAAATATAGGAAGTACGTAGATGGCCATCATCTTCCCTCACATACAAGATAATTACCTCGTGAAAAACGCAGACTCTTTAGAACTGTCAAATGACAAAGCAGGCAAGTTGACTTCCTCACTGGCATTACTCATTCATAAAGTAATCCTATTTGTAAAGAATTTTAAGGCACCCATTTATTCAAAGGGGCACATTTAAGATAGATGAATTTGGTCTATATCTGGATAGTCTACCTGTTTCCTAACTCCTAAAGACATGATTGTGCTTATGTATCTTTTATTTAATACTTATTTTGTTAGTTTGTTTCCTTCAATATTACAAGTTTCTTTGTGGAAGAGTCCTAAGGATTTTCTTTTTTAAGTTTTTTGTGAGGTTAGATATCCTGATAATGAGCAGCCAAACATCAGGTAGATCTGATTCCAATACGAATTCATTGCTTGAAGGTCTGTATCACTTGAAAAAATTACTTAATTTTTCTAAGTTTTAGTTTTCTTCATCTTAAAATGGCTGTAACAAGTGTGCATTGTTGTGTAGAGAACTGAATAAAATAATACATTAGGAGAGCCAATAATACATTAAGACTACTGTCAATATACAAGATTCTTTTTCCTAATAGTAGTTTTGCATTTCAAATTATGTCTTCATGTAGTGTAAGAAACTTGAAATAAATTTTCAGATACGTTAGGTGATTACAAGACTTTCACTTGAAAAACAGCAGGTGATCACCCATTTTTATTGCTTGAAATAATCAAACATTACTTTAATTACATAGTTTTCCTTTTGTGGGCATATTATTTGATTTCTTAAATGTTTATTGAAAGGCAGAATTATTTTCTGTTACACTTTAAATAGTGGAATATACTACCTTACTTATCCTTATGAGTGTTTCTCTTGATAGTAAATTTTATAATTCCAACTAAAACTACATATTATTTTGAGGGCTGATGAACTGTGTCTTGGAAAATAATTATATGTTCGACTTTTTGTTCTACTTGACAAATTTGTTTTCTTCTAAGCATACATACATTTTAGTTTACATTTTCATACTATTTTCAGTGTATTTGCTTAGGTCAGGAGAGGGTGGAATCATGTCATAAAAAGAACCTAAAAACAGGATTGAGAATTGTGATCCTTTTTAAGGCTACTATATCAATTCATTTGATTTTGTTTTTTTGGTGGGGGATAGTGGGGATCGAACTCATAACTTCACACTTGCCAGACAGGCACTTGTGTCAGGGATCTAAACCCTGGGCACTTCTCTTGTGCAAATTTTCTGTCTTGTTCCAGCATTCTCATAGAGGTCTTCTGAAAGTGTTTTTAGATAAAATTGTTTAATATTTGAAAAGCAAAGTAGAATAGGTGGCCAAGATTTGGAAGAGATAATGTTTTTCAGATACACACCTTCTTAAATTGGACATTTCTGGAATTCTCGGTATAATTTCAGGAACTTAATATTGTGTTGGGAAGAGCAGATCATGGATGGACTATGTGAATAATATTTAAGCCTTTGGTGGAATAAAATAAAACAATAACCTGGGCAGGAGGACCATGCATTCTTTCTTGGAGTGAATGTTTCACAAGACTGTGGTCATGGCAGTTAATTTAAAATCATCATCTAAATAACTGGAAATTTTAGGATAACTCCAGCTGAATAATGCAGGTTATCTGCATAGGAAATCCTTGTTACCAGGAAAAGCATCATAAAACTGCATTGTTTTCCACTGTTGCTCAGTTTCATTCGTTTTTTTTTTTTATTTCTCTGTTATTGTTCTTCTCAAAGTTATTTCAAGAGTACTTTATTTGTATGTCACATTTTATTTTCATCTTCTTACAAGTTCATAATATATATCATGTACTTTTACCTCATACTTTAGACCTATTTTCTATCTTCTTTTAAGATTACTTTCGGGGGCTGGAGTTTTAGCTCAGCAGCATAAGCACCTGCCTTGCAAGCAGGCAGTCGTGAGTTCAATCCCCAGTACTTATAAAAAGAAAAAAGACCAAAAAAAATTACTTCCAATAATTTTCTATTAATAATAAGAAGATGGCTACCTTATATAATTATCATTATTGGTAGCCAGTTAAAATAATTTCTGACATGTAGCTGTCCAATAACTATTTGCCAAATATAAAAAGAATTAATGAAGAAAATAGAATTTCCAATTAGCTGTTCTCAAACTTTTATGAAATGCTTACTCCATTTAAAACATGGTTTAATGCTTAGAATATGAAACTGTAGACCACTGTCCCAGCTTTTCAGGGCCACAGAATTTGGTAGAAGGGACAAATACACTGAATGAAGCTCAAAATATGTTCAAAATCATAATTTAGAATACAAAGTTTAGAGAAAATTCTATTAAGATTGAGATGTATGAGAAGTGGCAAATTCTTTATTTTCATGGGAAAGTTGAAGGAGATGGTGACGAACCAAGCAGAAGTTGCTGGCTGAGGATACAGGATGCCATGCTAATGGCGTAGATTAGCCATTAGCCAATTAGCCAATGGTGTAGACGCTTTTCAAAATAAGTGTATTATATTTTTCCTGTAAGTATGCAAGTTTGTGATTTTTAAACTTTATGCCACTGAACAATTTTGATTAAAGGAATATGGTTATTTGCTCCTGAGAAACACAAAGTTGAATGAGCTCAATTTCTATTTTTAATTTTGGGCTGTGGTTGAGAGATGTGTTGGGGAGTCTATATCTTGCAAACATTCTGGCCAGTTCAGAGACTGTTAAAATGTCATTTAAGTATCAGCAGACATAGAAAACAACTATTTTGAAAGTGAAACATACCTAATTCATACAAACATGGAGGGCTAAAGATATTTGAAATAAGGAAATTTTAAATTTAGAGTATACATCCTAGATTTTGGGAAAATTTGTCTCATGAGATTTATAGTCTGAAATAGGAAAAAATGCATATAAAGAGATGAAAAATGAATTTTTAATTGAATGGATATCTTTAGTTTAAATCCATGTTACATAAAGAGATTTAAATCTAAGAAGAAAGAGCCTGTAATCATGCATGGTAAAAATAAAAATGAACTATTAGGAATAACCTGAGTAAAAGATGCCCTTTTGTTGTTCCACAACCATTCTGGATATCCCTCTGGCAGTGTTTTTAGTGTTTTGCCTTTCTTTTCTTTTTTCTTTTCTTTTCTTCTCTTTTCTTTTCTTTTTTCTTTTCTTTTCTTTTCTTTTCTTTTCTTTTCTTTTCTTTTCTTTCTTTCTGTTCTTTTTCTCTTCTCTTCTCTTCTCTTCTCTTCTCTTCTCTTCTCTTCTCTTCTCTTCTCTTCTCTATACAGTACCCACAGTTTGACAGTGTATCTTAGTGGCAGGATTGAGCTGACATGTGTTTTCAGCAGTGGTTCTCATTGGGTTGTTTACCATTATGTCTACCACACCAGGACGTGTGTCCATGACCAAGTGAGGGGCCAAGTTGTAAATATTGCTGGATTGTTAAATGGATGAGCAAATGTCTTTTTAGTCTTATCTCTGGTTAAATTAATTGCCATGACTCTGAACACACATTGGCACAGAGTCAAGCAAGGCCTGTTGGTCAATAATCAGGGTGTAAGAAGCAGGCTGACACTGTGGAAGGACTGGAGATGAGGGTGTTGGGGGACCTCACGTCTAACATGCAGCTTATTCCTTCTGAGTCTGAGCTCCCACATCTGAATATGACAGCACATAAACTTATAAAGTCATTGGAGCTTTAAAAAATAACATAGAATGTAAGTTGCATGGTACTTTTTAAATATTTTGTGGTTGTATGTGGCTTTAAGGGAAATAGCTTGACTATAATTCTGCTAAGAATGATCATAGATTGCCTCTCCCTTTTAATTTTTTTGATATACTCTACATCAAAATTTAAATGGTGCAGTTATGTTTAAAAATTTAAACAAACTGAAGATAGAGGCTGTCTTTTGGTACAGTTTTATTTATCTTTGATATTAATACAAATTATTCCTCTCTGTACATTTTTGGAAATAAAAAGAAGTCATGAATTAAAAAGAATGTATCAAGGGCATTTGAAACATTTTTTTTTTCTTACCAAAGTAAACAGATTACAAACTTATAAATCTAGTAAGTGGTTCCACATAAGTTGCAGGAAGATAAAAAAATCATTTAAACAAAAATATGTAGCTAAGGAAATGATGCATTTAAATAAAGAAAGGATAATAATGTTTGTAAAAAATATTAAACAAAATTTATTCTTACTTGTACATCTTCTTGCTATCCACAGAGTGAAAAATAATAAGGTTGATTGCAATCAGCACTGTCTTGTGAGTCTGAGAAAGGAAGAGCTGGCACTTTCTGGTCCACCATCCTGCTTTCTTTCAAGTGGGGCAATTATTTTATCCTTGTTTTACAGATATACTTACGCTTCTTGGACTATGAGATGCAGAATTCAAATGAATGCAAAAGGAATTTTGTGGCTGTGTATGATGGAAGCAGTTCTGTTGAGGATTTGAAAGCCAAGTTCTGTAGCACGGTGGCTAACGACGTGATGCTCCGCACAGGTCTCGGGGTGATCCGCATGTGGGCCGACGAAGGCAGTCGGAACAGCAGATTTCAGATGCTCTTCACGTCCTTTCAAGAACGTAAGAGTCTCAGCGCTTGTCTGTCCTTCAGTGTGTCATATGATGCAAGTCTCACGCACTGTTAATGGTGTCTTCTTCATGTGGCTCGAGCACAGCAGGGTGCTTCCTAATAAGTTGTGAAAGCTGTGGAGATTCTTTCTTCTTCATTTTGATCCAGCGACAGGAGACAGTTACTGTTACTTTCAGATTCTTTATTTCAGGGTACACATCTTAGCCTTGCTTGTAGGCATTCATATATTCAATTGGCAGACAGTAAAGTGTATTTACTTTTAGTTTAGTACTTACCAAGCAGACAGGACTGATGCAGCAGCTTCTGATGAAATTTGAGCTTACATTTTAAAGAAAAAAACCCTACATAAAAATATTTGGTAGCTTCACTTTAGAAAGCTTCTCTTTCAGTTCCATTTATTAGAGAAAGAAAATTATTTGTAAGAAAGTAAATAGAAGTTTCAAGAAATATCAAAATTGGCATAATAAGTGATACTCAACTTTATTTACCAAATGCAGCATTGATAGAAAACTGTATTCTAACAGATAGTGATGAGTCATATAATAAGTATAGTTGGAGTATTCATCTGAAACTTTGAATATTTATGTTTTTATGCAAATTAAGAAGAATCCTGAGAAACTCAACTTTCAGGTATAGGAACTCTATTTCAAAATCATATAGTATTGTTTAAATAGAAAAGATAATATTATTGAAATTTCAAGGATTATTCTTATTAAGAGTAGCACAATGCCCAGTATGTTTTTAAAATTCACAAATGCTAACTATATTAGGCAGTTTTGTAAATAAGTAATTGGGGCTTCAAGTTCCCCTTCATTAACTCAGTGGACAACGCCAAAGCCCCAGAAGTTGTAAGGTCTCTGAGTCTTACTAAATTTCATGCCATCTTCCAGGGTTAAACCCCTCATCCTAGATTTAAACATCATGTCAATATGCACATCTTCATTTCTATAGTTCATTAAAATGTTATGGAGTGTGCACCACTATTTCAGTAAGATATGTAGGGAGAAAAAGGTACTCATCATTTTCTTGGTAGAATATGAAAAAAATCAGGATATAGGAAAACAATTTTTGGTGTCTCATGGCTGATTCCTCTGCCAGATTCAAAGAATTGTGCCTTTGGTGAGGAGTTTTGGTATTCTGTATTACTAAATTACATAGATAGATAGATAGTTCATTAGGTATAACATAAATGTTAAACCTTTTTTTAATTCTAAGAATTTTTAATTTTTAATTGAGATGAAATAGTACTTATTTGTCAAGTATAGTGTGATGTATTGAAATACAACTTAACCACTGTAAAATTATTAAAACTAGCTAATAGTGGTACATTTTGTTCTTCAGACTGTCTCAGGATAAATACTAAGTATTCTCACTACAGAAAGAAAAACTATAATATTTGGCTACCAGGGTATTGGATATTGGCTAGATTTAACTCCATGAAGTTCTACATTTTATTCAATATTCTTATGGGGTTTTGATAATACCATACTGAACACTAATTTTGTCTCATTTAAATGACAAAATTACAGACTCTGGTCTTTTAAATGATTTAATAAAGATTTTTAAAGATATGAAAAATCTTTCATTTTTATCCTAATGACACTATAAAATATATTGAGATAATTTTAAAATACATTGTTGTATTTCACTAATCAAATGATAATATAAGAAAACCCTGGTTAGGCTTTCTAAGCTTTTATTTCACTCAAACTCAGTGTGAGACATTACTTTCATTGTAACTGACAAAGCATTTATATGTTAATCTGTATATTAAGGAAAGTGCTGTCATCATGTGAGATCTTGGGCTTGTGAAAAGTCACACTGGTCAAAAGAAAAAAGGTCTCACCTATTTTTTTCTGGATTTTAATGGGGAGAATAACTGGAAGAGACTGGCATAGATGTAGAACCATCTAGAAACATGAGAAATATCAAAGAGAAATGCTAACTTTAGAATTTTTGCTACTCTGACCTTGGTGATATGAATTAATGTCTCAAAAATATAGTTGTTGTTTGAAAATTGCAGGAAAACTTCCAGGTGTAATTTATGAAGAAATGTCTAGGTCATGTGAGCCATGAACCAGAAAAACTGAATGGCTATCTATAAAAGATATAGATTATGGATAATAATTCACCCTGAAAGTGTAGTGTCATCTGGCATGATGGGTGGAGGAGAAATCATGTATGTTACATAGCAGGTTAAAAAAAAAAAGCTAACTTATAAAATCCCTTCTAACTCTAAAATGAATTAATAAATTCTACAATCAGATATATGCAGAGATAAGAAGTGGTAAATTATATCATACTGTATGTACATTGTGTATATTTATCAAGATAAAATTTATGTGTTAATGCCTGTGACAGGCATTCAAACTAGAAATTATTCAAGTGGACAGGTTTATCAATCAGTGATTTAAAAACACATGATTTCCTTCCTACAAAAGAGGAAAGGGGCATCTAATCCTTTATGTTCCTGTATGGTAGAAAACTGATCACTGTCTTCACGTGATACAGATCACAAAAATGGTCTCTGTGATTCTCTCACATTGATACTAAGCTTCCACCAAAACCTACAGGAATCCCCTTCCTCATTCTGTCAGGTTTATATATGTGCCCCCCCATGACTCATGAGTTGAAAACCTAAAGATTGGAAGTCATCATGTAATGAACTGCGTAAACTAAGTCTTTATTCACTGAAATAAAAGAATTCCAAATAAGACAGAAAAACATCAAAATAAAAAGCAGTGGACTTACAGTTGGGAATAGGGATTCAGAGTCATTGAGTCCTTAAAAAGGAAGCATAAGTATTCGGAAGTTTCAAGTTCCTCAAATGGCATTGTTTGTCTCAATATTAGTGGCTGAGAGACTTTGTATTATGTTTTTATTGCTTTAGATGATAACTATGATTGCTGTCTATGATGATGACAGACTGCAAGTCTCTTAGTTACTTTTCTTTCATTGTTGAACAAAACACCTAACACTCAAAGTTAAGGAAAGAACGGTTTATTTAGTTCCCAGTTTGTGGAGGTTTTAGTTCCTAATCAGCTGGCTCCAAGGCAGGGTGGCAGGGCCCAGGGACGCCAGTTTCAGGTGGCAGAAGAGAGCAAAAGCAAGTTCAGAAGGAGAACGTAACCTCTTCTCCTTCCTTATGTTATATGCAGGCTGTCCACCCTGGGTTGGGTGTGGCACTCACACCACCCTATGTCCTCCTCTTGCACAGGATGAGGATGTTTATAAAGTGAGGACCTTGATCCCCTGCTGAGCTGCTTAAACTTCTGAACTTCTCAAGTTGACATAATAAGCAACATCCTAGAGTAGTAAAGTGTGCTGGGATGTACAGCTGCTGAGTTACTTATTTAACTTCCAAAGTTGACGCAGCTTATCAATCATAAAAAAAAATAAAGATTTATTTGGTTCTGTAGGTGCAAAGTCTGTAGCCTTATGTGGCATTGAGCATCATGCTGGCAGGCACCAGAGGCAGTGCAAGCATCACATGCCAGAGGGAGTGATCACATGGGACTTGGGTTACTCCTGATAAGGCCACCAGGGCCCAATCACAGGGCTCCATCCGGATGTCTTTGTCACTTTCTAAGGATTCCATGCCTAAAAAGCTAATGTTAAATTTCTACCTTCTTTGTACTTCACGATGGGGATTAAATTCCAGCATCATTCTTCAGAGACAAACCATATTCAACTCATAAAAATGGGTATACAGTTTGCATACGAATGTGTGTATTTATGTATGACATAATGTATCATAAATCTAATGACATATGGTAATATGTTTTTGTCTCCTCAACTTCTGTACATTGAGGCCTTCTCCTCCAAGATGATGTTATTGGAGGTCAGGACTTTTGAGGTGATATTTGGTAAGGTTAGAGCCCTTATTTTGACATTAGTAACCTCATAAGAAAAGGCTGGGGAGACAGACCCCTTTCATCTTCTGCCAGCTGAGGTAGGAGGGAGAAGGCGATTTCTAAGAAGACACTAGCCCTCACGAGATACTACATCTGTTAGGGGCTTGATTTGGAACACTAACGTCCAGACCTGGGAAATTAAATTTCTATTGTTTGTAAGTAACTTGTTTTATGATATTTTATTATAGCAGCCTAGCTGAACTAAAATAGAATGTACTCAGTAGTGTAATAATATTTGTTAAACATATGTATGTTAGGGCCAAAGATTCTTTTTCTTTTCCCAGGAGTCAAGAGTTTAGCAATCATCTGTTACAATCCCTTATATTTTAAGAACTCAAACAGGAAAAGGAAAGGTCCAGGAAAGTTACTTGTGTTTCCCCTGCTCGCTCTCAATGCCAAATTTAATTTGTTAATAGAATTGAGGCAAGAATGGTTTTCTGGGTCCCACTCAGGAAACCTCTTGTGTATAGTTTGGATACTTTGAGAAACTTCTGTGACAAAGCTCCCAATTTTCTAAGGTGAAGTCTGATGAAAATGATGACCAAAAACGGAACAGTTAGAAGAGTTAAGGTCATATATCAGCATTGTTTCACGTACTTTACAAGCAGAATTTTGCTTTTTCACTCCTATTTATTGCATCTTCTTAGGTACACAGATACTTACATTTTATACTCGTAAGAATTTCCTATGACTACAGTTATTATAACAACAAAATTGTAGTGAGGTACTGTTAAGTCTGAGGGCTGATGTATATCAATGTAAATTTAATTTCTAGTCATCGTATTTTTACATCTGTACTCTGAATAAATTACAGGCAAGGGGAATAATGACCCAGTAAGGGAAAGTATAAGTTCTTTATCTAAGTCCTCAGATTTCTAGCTTGTATGTGGCTATTAGAAGAATTTTCTTAAACTTGTATTGGATGATAATATTTTAACAAAAAAATCACTAATGCAAGTAAAGTTGAGATCATAAGGTCCTTGAAAAAGAATAGGGTTTATCTGCACTCAAGGCTGAGAAATTCCACCTCCATAACACCGTTTGTGGGGTGGAGTCCTCCTGCTGGCTCACTCGTT